CTGTTTGAAAAACTTCAGCAGCTGCTCTTATCAGTTCTTAAAGCTACAGGTTCAAAAAATAAAAGAAAGAAAACAAAAGAGGGGATGCTTTACATATCTTTTTTTAGTTTCACAATTTCTTAGTTTAACATTTGATATGTTTCATTATGAACAAATATGGGTTTTTGAGAGGGGTAAATCCTTTCATTCTGTCTCTATTTACAACAACACGCCAACTTGTCTGGAGCTGGAGCTGCACATTTTCAGTCTGAATACCTTTATTATCTGACTGAAAATGAAAAGGGCTAGAAATAGTTGGTATAAAGAAGAAACGGGGGAGGAAATACTGGCACATACTTAACACAGGTGTGCGCTTGTAAATGTTTACCAAAGGACGCAAAGAGTTTAAAAAAAGGAAGCTGGCTGAGTCTGTGGCACTTTCTGATTTATGAGAGTGTTGCTATAGTCACCACAGATCTGCCTGCGTGAAACACATTAGGAGGATTAGTTGCTGTATAGATGAAGGCGGCYTTGACCTGGATCTCTTCAAGGCAAATCCCAGAGGTGAGATAATTAACCAGAAACAGGCAACGAGCAACAGGAACTCAAACTTTATTACCTGTTATCAAACATGATGAAAACCTTTCAACCTTTCCTGCTGTCGTTTGTTAGAACTCAAGCATTCATGGTTTTGGTTTCGATGTCTTCATCTGTTAGAAAAAAAAACAGAAATGTTAGTACAACAGATACCCTTCAGGGAACGTTTCTGAATATGTTTCAGTAGCTGGAGGTCATTATTATCTACTGCCAAAAGATGAAGGCAGCACATTTTTGCCTGTGTGTTGGTGTGTTGTGTGTATCTGTTCGTCTGTCAAAAAAATCTCTCATGAAACACTTTCTTTTTCTACAAAAGTACAAAGAACTCCGAAAGTAATGTTTACGTCCGTAACAGAATAACTTGGAGTAAACCCCTTTCAAGATGGCTGCCACAGTCAACTGTCCTTAAAAACACAAAAATCTGACACATCACAGTCAGTTTTACAGATACTGACCTAAAATGTGGTGTGTTGCACTCTATTCACAAAACGTTAGATCACACATGATGTTATCTGCAAGGTTTCACTTTGTAGTTTCGTTTTGTTTCGTTTGTTCATTTGTCATGGACCATGTACAAAAAATCATTAAACTCAGGTTAAGCAAAGATGTGCCCAGTGGCGGATAGGATTTTTCAGTGTAAGCAGCCATCAAGGGGCCACGATATTCAAAGAGGGGCCAAGCGTTTGTTCAACATCCTAGCACACAATTCCCTGGTTTTTGTAAGGTTTTTACATTTAACCAGTCACATGCTTTCAAACTTGTAAAAGCTTGCACAGTAAATTCTCCTTATCAATTTTACATGATTTTTTTACTGTACATAAATAAAATCCTCTCAAACATACAACATGTGAGAAAATCTAGCCATCATTGTCAGTAAAAAAACTTTTTCTGCAGGATTGTTCAAATTGAAAAAGACAGCTTGCTTTATGTTGGACTTTCTTATTTGACTCACTGGCTCCACTAGTGGTTGGAAGTGGAACTTCAGCCACCATCATTGTTCTTGGGCAAGGACAGATGAGTGAAAGGACAGGGACACTTCAGAGGACCAATCAGATTTCAGATGGGGCCAATGCCCCTGTGGCCCCACCCTAGAACCGGCCCTGGATGTACCAGATCATAATGTAACAAATTTGTGCACAATAAATTGGAGGTCTGAGTAAAACAGCAGAAAACCAGTTGATCTTCTTCTAAAAACCTTATTTTCAATCTGTCTTGATTCAGGTCCGCAGCAGCCAGCAGCAGGCCTCAGAGTGGGAAAGGCCTTGGCCTTATCAGAGCCAAAACAATAACAATCCCTCTTTAGCAGCCCAGGCTGATCTAAGGGTGAGACWGCACAATGATTAATGATAAATCAGCTTCTTAAAGCACGTGTACATCTGTCTTTCTGGTCACACCCCTGGAGGTGGTTACCTTTTACGTCAAACATTAAAATGTAACCAACTTTGGTCCTCTCTTTAATTAAAGAGAACACCTAATATTGATAAGACACACTGACTCTATATGGCTGAACAAAGTGTGACATACAAGACTGGATTCAGTTAATAAGTCACAAAATTTCCTTCATTAGCTATCAGCTAATTTCCATTTGTTCTTGCTGTGGCAGGCAAAAAAAGATACTAAAAACATACAATTTAAAAACTGAATACAAACAAGTACATATAAAGCATCCTATACTGTACATCTACTCATACAAAACATCAACCCACAAAAATATCAGCCACAATTCTACACAAGCTGATCTTAGTCTAAAACTCTGGCA